ATCAAAAATCAAAAAAATCAAAAATAATCAAAAATCAAAAAATCATTGTACACATTTTGTTTGAGTGAGCCCCCCCTCGAGCGGCAGCCCTCTTGAGTATGGCTTCCTCGCAGTCGTCGTCGAACCAATGTTGGTGTTTGCTGGGCCCCACCCTGCCCAGCTTCTCCTCCGCCGCGGTGAGGATGGCGGAGCGGAGATGCTCCCACAGCTGGTCCAGGGTGGCGTCCTCTTCAGGCGGGTTGGTTTTCAGTAGCTCTGCTACCCGGTCTGCGAACTCTTTGGCTTTGTCCGCCTCGACCAGCCGCCCGACCGCGAAAGGCCGGTCAGTCTTCGCTGGGGGTGCCCTCGGCGCCCACCGCTTGTTGGGGTTGAGGGAGCAGACGGCCCGGACCATGAGGTGATCCGAGCCCACTTTGGCCTCGGGGACGGAGACCACCGAGCGGAAGGCAGATTTGAGGCGACCCGGCACCAGCACATGGTCAATCTGGTTCCGCGTTTTCCCGTCGTTCGAGAGCCATGTGATCTTCTTGCCACGGCTCCGCTTGTCCATGGTGGAGCGGATGACGAGGTCCTTGGACACCGCGAGGTCCAGGAGACGGCGGCCATTGTCGGTGAGCGGCTCGTCCGCCTTCCCCACCTTCGCGTTGAAGTCCCCCATGAGGATAGGGAAGGACCCCTCGGGAATGGAGTCGATCAGCGCGTCCAGGTCCGCGTAGAAGGCGTCCTTTTCTTCTTCGTCTCCGTCATTGGTGGGAGCGTAGGCTGAGATGATGGAGAAGTTTTGCGGGGTAGCGCGGATGTCGAGGCGGCAGACACGGTCGTTGGCAGGCTTGACAAAGGTGTTGACGGCGCCGAGCATGTCTGCGCGCACCATGAACCCCGTCCGCCCGTGGTATATCATGGAGTACCCAGGCTTGCGGACTTCATGAAGCTGGCTGCCCGGCCAGTGGATTTCTTGCAACGCAGCGATGTGGATGTCCTGCTCGTCGAGTTGGATGGCGAGCTGGTTCACCTCGCCCGCGGAGAGATAGTGGACGTTCCATGTGCCTAGATGTAGTGGCTTCCCTTGCAGAATGGACACCCGCTTGACAGCGGGCCCGATGATGGGGGTGTCTTGGGCGGCGGCGGCTGCGGCGGGCGCAGCAGCAGCATCGGGGGGCGTGGCAGGGGCGGCCGCGGCGGCGGGCGCGGCGGGCGCAGCAGGCGCAGCTGGGGCGACGAGCGCGGTGGACGCAGCAGGGGCGGCGGCAGCAGGGACGACGGGCGCAGTCGACGGGCCGGGCCTTCCCTCCGGACGTTGGGGCCCGGCGGCGGCCGACGAGGCGGAGGAGGTGGCGGTAGCGGCAGCGGTGGCTGGAGGCGGTTGTTGCGGTGGAGGTGGTAGCGGAGGCGGCAGCGCCGGGGCACGGGGTGGGGGGGCGGGCCCGAGGTGGAGAACGGACGCCACCGCCGACCCTAGGGCTGGTGGCCTTCCCTCTGCGAGGATGGAGATGGTGCGGGTTGCGTGGCCGGACAACGGGCTGATGGTGTAGACTGGGTGGTGCAGAGAGAGGACACGGACACTGGCCTGATGGAGATTGCAGACGGCACGTAGGACTTCGACACCGAACTGCCCAGCGGCGGCCCCGGATCTGAGGTTGAGGAGCCAGGCGCCTACGGCGATGGCAGGGTCGCGCTGCGGCTGACCCCCGTATTGTGGAGGGAGGTCCCTGGCGGCCGCCTCCTGAAGCGCAGGAAGGTAGAGGTGTCTCTGGGCGACGAGGTGGTCAGCGACCTCCCGGCGCAGGGCGTCGGTGTTGCTGGGGATGGGGATGGGGTGCACCCGCAGGGAGCACCCGGATAGCTGGTGCGCGAGGGCCTCGAACAGAGCGTTGCCGCGGCCTCGCGCGAAGACGAAGTAGCGGAGCTCGCCGAGCGGACACTGCCCCGACCGACTGTGTCGACTCCGGACCGTAGAGAGGAGGCTGACTGCCATGCCGCGCTTGACGGGCGCCCCGGGCGCGCTGATTGCAACGGGGCGGAGGGCGGCTAGAACGGACAACACGAGCGAAAGCCGGGCCTAGGCAACACGGGCGTTGCGACGTGAAGAGGGCGGCGACCCTGGCCCGACTGGTGCTGGTGCACGACCTGCAGGGGTGCGGGGGTGCTGAACAGCAGACGACGACGGCGAGCTGAGTGCGTGCCATGGTGGTCGGTGAGAAATCTGGAAACGCTGCCTATGGATCAAGTATTTTACGAGCCTGTCAAAAGAATGAAGTGGAGCAGAGCAGGGCGGGCGGCGTCGGATGTTGGCTACGGAGTAGGCCGGGCTGGAGCAGCGGGGTCGCTGGGGTAGTGAGTGCAGCGGGGGGAGGGGGGGCAGACACAACAACCCAAAGTGTGCAAGCCGCATGCACTTGACGCGAGAGGAGTCGGTGGAGATGG